CCGCGAAGTGCACCGCGGTGGCTTCGCGCCCGCCTGCCCTGCACCCCGGCCGTCGCCCACGCCACGCCCCGCCCCGCCCCGCCCCGCCGGCGGCTCGTAAAAGACCTATTTCTGCATTCTCTGATTAGCGCCTCGCCGGAGAACAAAACACGCGCCGCGGGGAGGTGTGACTTAATACCTTTCGGAAAAGTTGTCGGCTCCACGCCATTCACCTTTTCAATAAACGCGGAGTTCATTTCCTCATCTCGTGTCGTTCTGTTTTTCCTATCCCTCATATTTTTATTTATTAATGTTGTTACGGTCTTTGGTCAAGTCTCTCTTTTTGCTTCTAGCTCGTTTTTGTTGTGTTTTTTTGTTGTTGTTATATCTTTCGTGGCTGTGAAGTGGATCCGTTTCTTCCCTGACCTTGCTCGCTACCGCCAGCTCACGTGTGCTGTAATGGAAACGCCATGTGGTGTGTGTGTGTGTTGAGTCCGAACCAAAATGCGCAAACTGCTTCACGTTCGCGCGCTTTCTTTCCCCCGAGCTTTCTTCCACATTTTTTTCTCGCTCTCGGGACGAGTATTTTTCTACCCTCTTGACACTTACACGGTGTGTGGCCGGCGGCGACCTCGAGACAAGACGAGTAGCAGCTGTGGGTTGGTTTGGACCAGACCACACCACACGGCTAATCATTTCCCCGGGAAAATTTGTCAACGTCACCCCCTTCCTGGGCACTTTGTTTTTTTATATTAAAACTTGAATCATCTCCTGATTATGGCGGGCAACATTGACTGCTAAGTGAACCGCTCCACCAAAATATGGCTTGCAAATAAAACCGCTAGTAAACCGCTGCTGGATGACATCGAACCGCGCGCTCTGCCTCTTAAATATGAAAATGTTTTTGCCGTCTGGTACTGCCTCCCTGCTGGTGGTCATTCCCCAGCTGGTTTACTGTGTTGGCAACGGGGCTCGAATTTGTTCCCGTCGCTCATTTTCGCATTTATTTGGCCGAGACGTCGACGTGTGGGTGAAGTGGAAGCAGCGGGAAGGGGAGGGTCGCGGAAAGGAGCGATCGGCCGCCGGTAGCAGCGCGGGAGCCGCGGCGCGGTAGCATGGCGGGAGCAGTGGTGGTAGCGCAGCGCTGGTAGCCGCGGGCCAGAGCCGCTCGCCGCTGCTCAGCCGCTCGCTCTCCTTGGACAAGCGCCGCGTCGTGCGACGGGACGCTTCGCCTCTCTCTTCTTGCTAACCCCCCCCCCCCCCCCTCCCTGCTTCCTATCTAACCATTCCCCCACAGCTTTGAACGCTTGCCAACTGAAGCTAGTCGCCGTACACCAGGTACCTACACAACTAGGTACACCTCTACCGCTACACTTTCAAAAAATACGCGGAGTCTCGTGTCTCGTGCACGAGATGTGAGCACCACCACACCTGGGTGTACTACGATAGGTGCATAGGTGTGGGTGTATGAAGTATGAAGACAAAACATTTTCTTGTAGATGCGCTCTCTTCTCTTTGCTGCTAATTGCTCGCTGATTGCTGTGATTGGCCGTCGGCGTATAGTGATGTGCGGTGTCTGTTTGGAAGCGGGGGAGCGTTAGTCGGGCTGAGTCAGGCTGCTCGCGTGACTCACCTCGCGGCCGTGACGTCACGCGGTGCGTACGGGCTGAGCCCGGCTGAGCCGCGAGGCTGCTGAGGCGATGTAATAAGTCTGCTGCCCCCCTCTGTTTATGCTCCGCCGGGCATCCCTGGCGGTGTGTTGTATGAACTCAGAAATGGGCCACTGTTTGGCCCCGCCCGGCGCCACGATGGGGAGCGTGACGCTCGCCCCTCACCCTCACCACCCGCCTGCACCTGCGACCTGCGTTACGTTGTATAATGCGTCTGACTAACCGTCGGCTTTCTGTCTCTTGTTTCTGCAGGAGACCGCTCGGGCCACCGCGGGGGCCGGGCACTCCACGCTAGGCCGCCACGATTGCCTCACCGTGGACGCCGTTGTCCGGGCCCGGGGACGCCGACAAGGGCCTGGACTTGGATGTCGGCGACTGCGATGACGACAAGGACCTCGCCTCGGCCGACGCGGAGGGCGTCTGGTCGCCGGACATCGAGCAGTCGTTCCAGGAGGCGCTCGCCATCTACCCGCCATGCGGACGGAGGAAGATCATCCTGTCGGACGAGGGGAAGATGTATGGTGAGTGATGGAGTCGCTTTGGTTATTTATCTATTTTATTTTTGCTATAGCCGAGTCGGCGCGTCGCGGGCGGGCCCGGCGGAGTCGTTGGCGAGGCGGTGATGATGTGCTTGTTGGCGATGAGCGCCATAATGCTGGCGTGCTCGCCACGCCTCGCCACGGCCAGAGGGAGAAGGAGCGCGGAGCCGCCCCCTCCCCCTCCCCTTCCTCCCTTTTCCCCTCCGCCCCCCAGTCAGAGCGAGGATGGAGGGGCGTTCCGGTCGCACAGCTCGCTAGCGCAGCACGGCGCAGCACAGCACAGCGCTCCCTTGGTTGCCCTAATTGCACATTCTTGGCATAGTTCTGTTGCCACCCCTCCCCCTGCCGCCC